TGGAAATTTAGACGAGTAAAGAGCATTTTAGTAATTTAGATAATTAATTAATAATTATTTAAAATTAGTTAGAATTATTATTAATAATAAAATAAAGGAATAATTGGTGTAGAGAAGATAAGGGTAAGGTGGTAATCGACAAAAGGCTAAGTGGAGATAAATTAGGCCAAACATATTAGGGATCCTAAAATTAAATAAGAAATAGAAAGAAGAGAGAGTCATTTGGGTACAGAGGAAAAATATTGGAAGAACAGAGGAAAAAGCTAGGGCACAAAGAACATAGAGGAATTTGGTAGATCGCGAAGAGGAAAGATCAAGCTAATAATCTAAGGTAAGTGAGGGGATATGTCATTATAACTGATATGGAGTTTAGAGGTATGTAGGGATTTGTTGGGTTTTATGATGAAGTTGATGATATGTTGTATTGTGATAATTTGTGTTGAAATAGACGAAAATAACATATTGATTTGGTATTAGTTTGCGTATATAATGCCTATAATATTGTGTGGTTGTTGTATGATGATTCTATATTGAAAACTATGAAAATCTGGATTGTATTGGTATGAAATCGTAAGAGGATTTGAGACTGAACAAATGCAGAATCGCAAATGGGAGTTGTTGTTTGGTGCGTGTCGTCGGGCGAAGGGAAGTGTCGTTAGACGAGGCAATGTCGCTTGGTCGTCTCTGGGTGAGCCAATGGGCGAAGGAATGGGTGAAAAAGGGGTGTTTCTGGATTTTTGTATGGAGGTGGCTATCTCGCTGAAGCGTCGCAGGGCTACGCAGAAGCGAGAGGTGCATCGTCGAGCGAGCAAAGTGCTTCGTCGGGCGATGGAGACCATAGAGGAGATATGGTATTGCTGCTCCCACATCGTCGGGCGAGCACCAAACGATGGTTAGCAATATGATTTTTAAAGTGCCATAACTTGAGTTTTAGAACTTTGTTTGAGGTGTCGCTCAAAGTGTTGGATAGCTAATGCAGTGAAATACACGTGGGTGTAGTAAAATGAGTACAAAGAGGTATAATTTCAGTACCTAGGCTAAGATAGACTTAGATCCTTAAGAGGTAGGATACAATGATGCATGTTGCTATGATGAATTGTATTTGTTAAGATGATAATCCGTTATGATTATGAAGTGTTGAATGATGTTGATGCTAATATGTTGATGTGTATTTATGCCATGTGAATATTGTTGATGAATTGGTGAATGGTGATGCACTTGACTAAATGTGGTCGTAAATAATTATGTTGATTGTGCATCATGTATTCATAGCATTGTTAGGACGAAAGTATAATGTTGATTTAGGACGTAAGTCCAATGTTATTGAGGACGTTAGTCCAATGTTGGCCTCAATTCCATTGTGTGGATCAAGTGTATTTGATGTTGTGCTCCGATTCCACGAGGGAATCGATCATATGGTAGGGATCTTTGGAGGGTGATGAGTCCAGTACTCATAAGGAATTGGTACAACAGACATGAGTCTATGCTATTGCACTGTATTTCATGTGGCATTGCATAATTGTTGCTTAGATGATGTTGTATATGTTATTGTGCTAATTGTTGATTGTTGCTGATGAATGTTGATTTTGATGCCATGATATTGTTGCTTGAACTACTATGTCTATTCCGTATATCTTTTGTAATGAATGTGATTACTCATCCTTTATGTTTGAATGTTGCCTCCACGTAGGTAACACGCTGGTGATCAGGAGTTGTTCGTAGGAGCTTAGAAGATAGCTCAGAGTATGTTGTTTTCTTTTTGTTGATTTTAAAAGGTCTTGCTCTAATATGTAACATCGGGGTTGAGAATGTTTGATTTTTAAACTTTATGTTCTTTTGTATATTCTGAGATTTTTAACTACCTTTCATGGTATTTAAGTTATTTTGAATTATAAACCATGAACAACAAAGTTTCTACGACATGTTTAATAAAGACGTTATGAACTATGAATTCTATTGCATAGTAAATGATTTATAAATGTTAAAAAGCCCGAGTTACAGAGTAAGACATGCATGTATGATATTTTATGAATCATGTGACGCCTTTTTGGTGAAATACTCTTATTATTTAATTATATTATTCATGGGGTTTTAGAAGAGTGTTACATTAGTGGTATCAGAGCAGGTCGGTATGTCCGGCCAGGTTGTTGAGTCTGTAGTGTGTGACAGTTGAATACTATTGAGACAATTTCTAACCTTTGTTTTTGTCGTTATGTGAACTAGAAGAATGGCTGGGAGGATTGATATTGTGATTGTTGTTGCCTTGTAGGTTGTTGCTCAGGCTGTGCAGAATCCACCTAACACGAGTGGAAATGATGATGAAGCTCGTGCATGAGGGAGGTTTCAGAGGAACAACTCGCCGATCTACAAGGGCATGCACGATGCAGATGGTTTGCAAGCATGTCTTAAGGGAATTGAAAAGATTTTCCGAGTGGTAATTTGCACGGATGATCAGAAGGTGTAATTAGCACTCACATGTTAGAAGAAGAAGCCAAGGACTAGTGGAACAATATGCGCCAGAGAATGGAGATTCTGGGTACAAAGATTACTTGGGATGTATTTAGAACTGTTTTTCTAGATAAGCACTTTCCAGAAGATGTGCGTGGTGAGAAGGAGATCAAATTCCTTGAGATGAAGCAAGGAAGTTCGGCAGTTACTAAGTATGCGGCTAGGTATGAAGAACTAGTGAAATTTTGTCCGCATTATAACAACCCAACAGCTGAAGTGTTAAAGTTCATTAAGTTTAAGAATGGACTACGTCCAAAGATCAAGCAGGATATTGGATATCTGCAGATTAGTCAGTTTCCCATGCTGGTGAACAAATGTAGAATCTTCTACCAAGATAGTAGAGACAAAGCTTCTTTTTATAAGAATTATAATGAGAAGAAGGGAAGGAATCGTGATCGTGGTAAACCATATGTTGCTCCTGCTGATAAAGGGAAGCATAAATCTTATGATGAGAAGAAGCCAAGTGATGGAGGAGCTCGCGCTTCTGTGAAATGCTATTGATGTGACGAGTTAGGCCACCATGCTGATGTCTGCACTAATAAGGTGTTGAGATGTTACAGGTGTGGCAAGGTTGGTCATCGTGTTATCGAATGCAAGACTGAGATTCCTACTTGTTTTAACTATGGTGAACAATGTCACATCAGTACCCAGTGTCAGAAACCAAAGAAGAATATTGTTATTGCTGCTCATACTAATGGCAGAGTATTTGCTCTGAGTGATTCAGAAGTCGCCAAGAAAGACAACTTGATCAGAGGTACTTATTTTATTAACAATGTTGAGTTAATTGCTATTATTGATACTGGTGTCACTCATTCATTTATTTCGCTTGAATGTGCTACTATGTTAGGATTAAAGTTGTCTGATATGAATAGAGGAATGGTAGTAGAACTTCCTGCCAATGGTTTTGTTACTACTACTCTCTTTGTTCAAAGTGTCCTTTAATGATTTATGGTAAAAGTTTTGTGATGGATTTGATGTGTCTACCCTTACACCAGATTGATGTTATTCTTGGAATGAACTGGTTGGAGTTCAACTATGTTCATATCAACTGTTATAATAAGACTGTGAGGTTCCCTAAGTTTGGCGATAACGGAAAACTGATGTTTATGTCTGCTAAACAAGTGGATGAACTCTTAGAAGATGAAGCGTTGATGTTTGCAATGTGTCATACCCCAAATTTATCCGTCCTATGTCTAACAGTCAAATTATTTTAAAACTTAGACTTTATAAATTTTTTAGTTTATTTTTACTAATATTTTAATATTAATTTATTTTGCTTTACTTTAAATTATTGGTATTCATTAAATAGCAAATATTTTTTTGCCCTTCGCATAATTTCAAGTGGCTTCTTATCACAAATAAATGAGTCAACACAATTGGTAAAGAGGCTTGCAAGCATAAGGTCATATGTTTGAATCTCACTTGCTATATTTTTAACATGTCTCCTTTACTAACTTTATTTCCATTAATAAAAATCATAAAATTATATTTTTTTATTATTTTAATTTCAATTTTCATTTTTTATTTTAAAGAATGTTTAAAATAATTATTTATTTGATTTTATGCACTTTTATAAAAATTGAGTGCAACAATTATAATAAATACTGAAAATATTTCCTTTTCTGAATAATTGTTTTTCATTGGTCAAATTGTGTTATATTTAGCTTCTGATTGATCAGTTTGTTGATAGAATCAAAAAAATTTGGACTTTTTATTTTGGACAATTTCTTTTTTTAGTGTTTTAACCAATTTTTTCAATCTATAAATAATCTTTTATTTTGACAGTTAAATTCATCAATAATTTCTAACAATTCTTCAAAATTCTAATTCACACACTATTAACAATCACACACAAATCCACAAATTCTCACATATCACGATTTTCTATCAACAATATCCACAACTCTTTTTACAATTTCTTTTCATAAACTTATTTTTAAAAAATTATTGATTCTTTCTTTTCTTGGACGGATGGTTCAAATATGAAGACTCCATTTATTTTCAATTTCTTTTAACTTTAACTTATTTATTTTTTCAACCAAGTGTTAATTTATCTGGTGGTTGTTTTTCTTTTAAAAAAATTATATTTTATTTTATTAACATTCAAGCAATTCGCATTATCACACCTTTGTGCAGACTCTTATTATCGATTGTTACGAACCTACACAGTATATTATCCCAACCACTTTCTCAATACATAATAACCTCCTTTTAATGTAAATATAATAAAGAAATCTATATTTTTTGTGCTTCGATAAATGAGTGTGCGTGTGTATTTTTGTTTCATTGTGTTGATTTGTTTGTTGTAATTGCATGTATATTCAATATCTGGGTTTTGCATTGTTTTTACTTAAATTCATACCCCATCATTCATAATCACAACACAAACCATATCACCAGTGACACTCTCTTCAACCATGTTTACAACTAAACCTGTTAAACAAGGAATATCAGCTTTCAAACAAATCCAGATAAACTGAAACAACAATACAATGTCATTGATATACTATGTTTTTGTTCTTTTTTTGCAGAAACAGGAAAGGAGAAGAAGGGAATCAGATCCGGCGATGAAACAATTCCAATCCACCGCGCTCAGCCTTGCCGCCGTAATGAGCCCAACACGGTTTCCTCCTCGCTACACCCAAAACGCCACCGAGTCGTCCATCCTCTGTCAAGCAGAAGCCGCCGCGGTCGAGGAACATCGCACCGAACCTTCACCTTGCTGACACGAATCTGCTCACCTTGCAGCCAACAGCCCCAGATCGACCACCTCCGACGACACCCCGCCCACGTCAAACGACCACGGCCAACACACCCTCACCGTCAGCTCCTGTCGCCGCCGTCGTGTCATCACAGATTCGTTGTCGGATTAGTTTTCTTACTTCTCATTGAGTGCCACATACATATGATAAGGTGGGTTTGAGTTTTGACATTAAATTTATGTAGAAATAAAGTTTTGATCTCCTGAGTTTGTTTTGTGCGTTTTGTGAGTAAAGTGATAGAGGTAGAAGAAACTAATTAGATGGTTGTATTTTGTAAACTGATGCTTTAGTTGTGTTCAATTTATTTTTTTATTTTATTAAAAAAAACAACACCACTTGTCATGTCTCAAAAAAATCACTCATTCATTACACCGCCCCCGACTTATGCTGTCATTTTTTTATAATTATTTTTGTTTTAGAATTAAGATATTGGTTTTTAAGTAGAATCTTATTAGTTAGATTTATTTTACTAAAGTTTTATTTAAATTAAGAAAAATATTATAAAAAAACTAAGAGAAACGTATTCCTTTTAATTAAGTCACATCTTTATTTTAATCAGTGTAAATATTCTAACTATGCTAATTTAATTTTTTTAATTTAAAATTATTTTTAATATCAAAAAGACAAAAAACAATAAAAACTCTAAAATATAAAAAAGGATCTATATTTTATTTGTAAGTAGTTAATTAGATTAATTAATTATGCTTATTTCTAGGATTTTCGATTAATTTGATAAATCATAAACTTTGTACATAATTAAATATTTTTTTAATCAAATTAATTTAATATTTTTGCAAATAAAAGATGCACATCCGTCAATAATCAATTAGTCGGTTTAACGTCGTATCAAATAATTATTCAAATAAACATATAAAAACTCATCAATAAATCAAATAAATTTTTTTGTCCTGTTTGATTTAATTCTAATAAGGATCAATTTCTTATAAAAATTAATTTTTCCGTCTCGCGCGATTTAATTATGATAAAGATTAACTCTTTATTAATAAATTGATTTCTTCGCCCCCTGTGATTTAATTTAATAAAGATAAACTCTTTATCAATCTAATCAAATTCGAAACAACTAATATATTCAAACCATTTTCTACTAACTTAAGAAAACTTCAAGATATTTTCAAAAAAGGATTAAATATGATTACTTTCAAAGTTAACTGCGAACTACGTCTACACTCACACAACTTTTCAAACTCAGACAAGGTTCAAGGATAAATTTGAAAGCAATTCTACGTCATCCTATTAAAAACACCAACCAAACATTCGAACTACGAAATGAACTTTGCTTTCTTCGCCGCACACAGTTAAAACCATGGCGAGTCCCATAACTAAATCATTAAACATTTTCTTAAACACATGGAAATAATGACTATTTAAATAGAAATTTCCGATTTACCCTAAAACCTAGAAGTAGAGCCCCTTGAGAACAAGGGATATAAAGGATGCATAACAACTTCCATTTATCTAACCGACTCACGAATTTAGAATCTCTGAACAATTTAAGGTTATCCGTTATTTTCTCGTCTTTAGGACAAAAAGTAGTGGTGACGACTCTTGTTTTTTTGCTGATTACGACACAATGTTTACGTCGTTACAAGTTGATCACGAAACTACAAGTGTGGAAGTACCAGTTGTCTATGAATTCCCAGAAGTGTTTCCAGATGACATCGGCGATTTACCTCCAGAACGAGAAGTTGAATTTGCTGTAGAATTGATACCAGGTACAAGTCTAGTGTCAATGGCTCCTTATAGGATGTCAGCTTTAGAGCTGAGAAAGTTAAAGAAACAATTAGAAGAATTGATGGAGAAGAATTTTGTTCGACTGAGCGTCTCTCTATGGGGTGTTCCAGTGTTGTTGGTTAAGAAAAAGGATGGTAGTATGAGGTTGTGTGTGGATTATAGACAATTAAATAAGATGACTATTAAGAATAAGTATCCACTTCCGAGGATCGATGATTTGATGGATCGATTGGTGGGTGCTTGTGTTTTCATCAAGATTGATTTGAGGTCGGGTTATCATCAGATTCGTGTTAAACCAGATGACATTCTGAAGACGGCTTTTCGAACAAGATATGGTCATTATAAATACATAGTAATTCCATTCGGTGTATCTAATGCACCAGGTGTTTTCATGGAGTATATGAATTGAACTTTCCATTTGTATTTGGATAAGTTTGTTGTGGTCTTCATTGACGATATTTTGATCTATTCTAAGTGGGAAGAAGAACATGCTGAGCATTTGTGAGTTGTGTTGCAAGTGCTGAAAGAGAAGAAGTTGTATGCAAAGCTATCGAAGTGTGAGTTTTGGTTGAAGAAAATGAGTTTCCTTGGCCATGCGATTTCTAGTGGTGGGATTACCATAGATCCTTCTAAGTTGATGTTGTGTTGCAATGAGAGACTCTGAAGTCCGCTACCGAAATTCAAAATTTTATTGGTTTAGTTGGATATTATCAAAGGTTTATTGAAGGTTTTTCTAAGCTAGCGTTACCGTTAACTCAGTTGACTCGAAAGGGTCAAGCCTATGTGTAGGATGTCGTGTGTGAAGAAAGTTTTGTGGAACTAAATAAGAAATTGACGACTGCTCTGATATTAATTTTGCCTGGTCTGAGTGAGTCTTTCGTGGTGTATTGTGACGCGTCTAAGATGGGTCTTGGGGGTGTGTTAATGCAAAATGGACAGGTTGTTGCCTATGCTTCTGGGAAATTAAAAGTTCATGAGAGAAATTATCCTACGCATGACTTAGAGCTAGAAGTTGTGGTGTTTGTGCTGAAGATTCAGAGACATTATCTTTTTGGCTCTAAATTTGAAATGTTCAGTGATCATAAGAGTCTGAAGTACTTGTTTGATCATAAAGAATTAAATATGAGACAAAGGAGGTGGCTCGAACTTTTGAAAGACTATGATTTTGACTCGAGTTACCATCCTGTAAAGCAAATGTAGTAGTTGATGCTTTGAGTAGGAAGTTCTTGCATATGTCGATGCTTATGGTGAAGTAGTTGGAATTGATCGAGAAATTTATAGACACGAGTTTGGTATGTGAAAGGACATCTAACAGTGTGAAATTGGGAATGTTGAAACTGACCAGTGATATCCTTGAAGAAACCCGAGAAGGTCAGAAATGTGATTTAAGTTTAGTAGATCGAGTAACATTGATAAACCAAGGTAACGATGGTGAATTCCGAGTGGATGAAAATGGTGTGTTGAGGTTTAATAATAGGGCGTGTGTTCTAAATGTTCCAGAGCTTAAGAAAATTATTATTAAGGAAGAACATCGAAGCGACTTGAGTATTCATCCAGATGCTACAAAGATGTATCGGGATTTGAAGAAATTGTTTTGGTGGCCGGGAATGAAAAAGGGAGTTGCAAATTTTATGTATGCATGTTTGACTTTCCAGAAGTCCAAGATCGAACATCAAAAGCCTATGGATCTTATGCAACCTTTGAGTACTCCACAATGAAAATAGGATAGTGTTTCAATGGATTTCGTATCGGGTTCGCCAAAGACTGCTAAGGGCAATGATTCAATTTGGGTGATCTTGGATAGGTTGACTAATTCAGATAATTTCTTACCAATGAGAATTAATCATTCCATGAAGAAGCTATAAGAGATGTATATTTATGATATTGTAAAGTTGCACAGTATACCTTTGAGTATTGTGTCGGACAGAGTTGAGTTCTAAGTTAAGGTTAAGTTCTGCATATCATCCACAGACGAACGATCAGATCGAGAAGACTATTCATTCTTTAGAGGATTTGTTAAGGGCTTGTATGTTGGAACAAAGATGTGCTTGGGACAACCACTTGCCGTTGATTGAGTTTACTTATAATAATAGTTTTCATGCTAGTATTGAAATGGCACCGTATGAAGCGTTGTATGATAGAAGGTGTAGAACTTTATTGTGTTGGAATAAGTCAGACGAGAGTGTTGTACTTAGACCTGAGATTGTGCAAGAAACAAATGAGAAGATAAAAATGATCCAAGAAAAGAGGAAAGCTTCTCAGAGTCATAAAAATAGTTATCATGATAAAAGGAAAAGGGCACTTGAGTTTCAAAAAGATGATCATGTGTTCTTGAGAGTCACTTCAGTGACTGGTGTTGGTAGAGCTCTGAAATCGAGAAAGCTTACGTCGCATTTCATTGATCTATACCAAATATCTGAGAAGATAGGTGAAGTATCTTATCAGATTAATTTACCTTCGTCGCTTGCAAATCTTCATGATGTGTTTCATGTGTCTCAGTTGAGAAAGTACATTTTGGATCCTTGACATGTGATTCAGATGGATGATGTGAAAGTAAGAGATAAACTAACTGTCGAGACGTCACCTTTGTGGATAGAATGTCGAGAAGTGGAGTAATTGTGGGGTAAATATATTGCCTTGGTGAAGGCACTTTGGGGTGGACCAGCCGGTAGAAGTTTGACTTGGGAGCATGAGGATCAGATGAGAGAGTCATATTCGAATCTGTTTTCCTCAGGTAATTTTGAGGGTGAAAATTCTTTAAGTGGGGGAGAGTTGTAACACCCCAATTTTTAGAATTATTTATGTAAATGAGTTATTAGAAATATTTATGATTTATTGATGGAAATATGATATTTTGTTGAGTATGATGCGTGATGTGATGCTATGTTGTGGCATAATGGGAATTTAGATGAGTAAGGAGCATTTTAGTAATTTAGATAATTAATTAATAATTATTTAAAATTATTATTAATAATAAAATAAAGGAATAATTAGTGTAGAGAAGATAAAGGCAAAGTGGTAATTGACGAAAGGCTAAGTGAGAACAAATTAGGAAAAACATATTAGGGGTCCTAAGGTTAAACAAGGAATAGAAGGAAGAGAATGTCATTTGGGTACGATCGTGAAAAACATTGAAAGAAAAGAGGAAAATCTAGGGTATGAAGAACATAGAGGAATTCGTTAGATCACGAAGAGGAAAGATCAAGCTAGAA